GCATCCATGAACAGCTGCTTTCACCCTCAGATTTTGAATAATTCCAAAATAAAATAATTTTTAATAGGATAAAGATTTGTGCCTAGAGCAAAAAGTCCTCAGATATGGCACCAAAAGCACAACCCACAAAATTAAAAATTGATAAAGTGAACTTCACTCAATTTTAAAACTTTTGTTATAAAAAAGACATCGTAAGAGAAATGAAAAGGTAAGTTACAGTCTTATCTGTTACAAACAACCCAATTAAACTATGTGCAAAAGACTTGGACACTGTAATATAGAGAAAATATAAATGGGCAAATAAACGCATGAAAGATTTCAAAATTAAAATTAGGATGAGAGGCTGGGTGTGGTGGCTCATGCCTATAATCCCAGCACTTTGGGAGGCCCAGGCGGGCGGGTCACAAGGTCAGGTGTTTGAGACCAGCCTAGCCAAGATGGTAAAACCCCATCTCTACTAAAAATACAAAAATTAGCCAGGCACAGTGGTAGGTGCCTATAATCCCAGCTACTTGGGAGGCTGAGGAAGGAGAATCGCTTGAACCCAGGAGGCGGAGGTTGCAGTGGGCCAAGATCTCACCACTGCACTCCAGCCTGGGAGACAGAGCAAGACTCTGTCTCCCAAAAAAAAAAAAAAAAAAAAATACATATTAGGATGAGATACCACTATGTACCCACTAGGAATGGCTAAAAAAAAAAAAATGACAATACCAAGTTGTGGTAAGGATGTAGAAATTGCAACTTTCAAACATTGTTGGTGGGAATGCAAAATGGTACAGCTACTCTAGAAATGTTTTGCAGTTTCCTATAAACATACACTTACCACATGACTTAGCAATCCCACTCTAGGTATCTACCCAAGTGAACTTAAAATGCATTTTCACACAAAAATCTGTATAGAAATATTTACAGTATAGCTCTGTTTAAAAATGCCAAAGCCGGGCCGGGAGCAGTGGTTCACACCTGTAATCCCAGCACTTTGGGAGGCCGAGGCGGGTAGATCACGAGGTCAAGAGATCGAGACCATCCTGGTCAACATGGTGAAACCCAGTCTGTACTAAAAATACAAAAAATTAGCTGGGCATGGTGGCGGGTGCCTGTAATCCCAGCTACTCGGGAGGCTGAGGCAGGAGAATTGCCTGAACCCAGGAGGCGGAGGTTGCGGTGAGCCGAGATTGCGCCACTGTACTCCAGCCTGGGTAACAAGAGCGAAACGCCGTCTCAAAAAAAAAAAAAAAAGCCAGCGCCTAGAAATAATCCTAATATCCCTCAACAAATGAATGAGTAAACAGCGTGGTAGTCCTTACAATAAAATACTACTAGCAATAAAAAGGAACAAACTATTGATAAGCAGAATCACCTCAAAGGATTTCAAAGGCACCATGCTGAGTTGTAAAAGCCAGTCACAAATGGTTAAATACAGTAATTCTATTTATATAGAGAGTCCTATTTACATACAGTAAACTCCTATTTATATGACACTCTCAAAAGGACTGAACTATAGTGACATAGAAAGATCAGATTCCAGGAATTATAAGTGTGGAGTGTGGCCAAGTACAGTGGCTCACACCTATAATCCCAGCACTTTGGGACACTGAGGTAGGAGGATCATTTGAGGCCAAAAGTTTAAGACCAGCCCAGGCAACATAGCAAGATGCTGTCTCTACAAAAAATTAAAAAACTACTTAGCCAAGCATGGTGGTGTGCGCCTGTAATCCTCGCTACTCAAGAGGCTGAGGCAGAAGGATCACTGGCATCCAGGAGTGACTGCACCTCTGCAATCACTTGCAGCCTGGGTGAGAGACCTGTCTCTTAAAGAAAAAAAAAAAAACAAAACAGTGGGAAGAGTGTGCCTATGCCTAAGAGACAAAAGGGACAACAAGGGGTTTTTGGTGGCAGGGGCAAGGGGGTGTTATGGAACTGTTCTATCTCCTGATTTTGGTACTAGTAAATAAAGTTCAGAGAACTGTTCACCTCCACAAAAAAGTCCATTTTACTATATGTTAATATAAAAAATATTTTTAAAAGTAAATGAAAACAAACAAACAAAAAGTAAATGGAAAGGCTACAAAAAAACACCCTACTAACAAGTTATTTATATTAATATACAGAAAGGTTTCATTACTTCATTTAGTATTTTGACCATGGACTATGTGTCAGTTTGAGGAAATACATATCAAAAGGCTGAAATCATGTAATAGCATTTAGATTTTGATAAACATACTAAGAGCCATTATCTTATTTGATCCTCACAACTACCTGAAAGTGCATATTATTTATTATTCTTACTTTACCAGTGTAGAAACAAACTACAAGAAATTAAGTAACTTTCCCAAAGTTGTAGAAATACTAAGTGACTGAGCTAGGAATTAAACCTAATTCAGTATGTAGCCAAACAGTAAGTGTTAAATTAATGTTGAATGAATGAATGAATGAATGCATACAAAGCTCATGCTCTGATACTATGCTGCCTTCTGATAAATTTAGTCATGTTAAATGTACATATTCATATTTTAAAAGGCCAGAACAGAATGTGGAAGGATTGAATTACATTAATACATGTAATTATTACATTTCTTTTTTAGTTGTTTAAGTTGCTTAAGTGCACAATTTTTTAAACGGCATAGTAAAAGCAGAATATTTATGAAACAGTACACAATTTACCTGCATTTGCAAATAATTTTCTTTAAGTACTACACAGCCTATTTACTATATGAAATGAAGAAAAAGATAAACACAGTATCATTGTCCCCTCCCTTAGAATTCTTCTTTAATTAAAAAAAAATTAAAAGGCCAACTGATACCAATAGAATAATTTCAAACCAGTATATAAATTTCCTTTAACTAGGTCTCCTTTCTTAAGCATATACTCTTTTTACTAGGGTCATTCTGGTGGTAGTATGCTTTAAGACCACTCCATCCAAAATAAGCAAGTTCACAGACACTTGGAATAACTGAAAAAGATGGACGAGACTTTTAAATGTAATGTAAATAGTCCTCCCTTATCTGTGGGAGATAAGTTCCAATACCCCTAGTGGATGCTTGAAACTGCAGATGGTATGAAACCCTGTGTGCACTGTTTTTTCCTATATATACACATACCAATAGAACAATTATGACAATATTTTGTAATAAAAGTTACATAAATGTGGTCTCTCTCTCTCTCTCTCAAGATATTCCATTGTACTATACTCACCCATCTGATAACCAAGGTGGCTGCTAAGTGCCTTTGGGGCAGGTAGTGTATACAGTGTAGATACACTGGACAAAGGCATTATTCACCTCCAGGGCAGAATGGCCCAAGACTTCACCATGTTACTCAGAATAGCATGCGATTTAAAACTTGTTGTTTTTGTCTGAAATTTTCCATTTAATATTTTCAGACTACACTTAATCTCAGGTAACTGAAACTGCAGAAAGCAAAACTGCAGATATTTTAGGTGGGGAAGACTGTACCTCTTATATTAATGTATCACATTTATAGTTTAAACACAGTGAGTTTTGATTTTATCACATAACAGATCAATATCGAATACACTGAGTTTATTTCAATATTCAGTAATATGTATTAAAATTTCTATGATATTTAAATGTTCTATGCTTGTCATGAGACTATTGTAAAGCACTACCCCGGATTATGAAATATATTGGGCAGAAAAGATGAACCAGCAGGCCTGTGACTGCTATCCTTAAAAAAGCCTGCTTGCAGAAAGGAAATCAGTATACTGAAGGGGTATCTCCACTTCCATGTTTACCGCAGCAGTATTCACAATAACCAAGATATGGAATCAACCTAAATACCCATCAACAGATGAATGAATAAAGAAAATGTGGTACATATACACAATGGAATATTATTCAGCCACAGAAATAATGAAATCCTGTCATTTACAACAACATAGAAGGAACTGGAAGACATTTAAGTGAAATAAGCTAGGCATAGAAAGACAAGTATTACACGTTTTCACTAACATGTGAGCGCTAAAAAAAACTGAACTCATGGAGCTAAGAGAACAGAATGATGTTAGTGTTTTATGGATAGTCATTTAAGTGTGTAAACATGGGTTCGAAGTGAGAAGCTAGGTAGAAGTTTTACAAGAATATTTAAGATGGCCAGGGGGCCTAAAAAGGCTAGATATGGGAGGTGATAAAGAGATGACATATCTCTAAGTAGAATTACCAGAGGCCTAGTGGGGATCCGGGCATAAAGAGGAGATGGTAAATGGGACAAAAATACAGTTAGATCGAAGAAGTAAGATCTAGAATTCAGTAGCAAAATAAGCCACCTATAGTTAACAATTTGTTGTATTTTTCAAGATAACTAAAAGAATGGAATTGGACGTTTAATTGGTGACTCCATCACCTCAAGCATATTTATCATTTCTTTTGAAAAAAGATAAGTATGTATGACTATTATATATCCATAATAATTAAAAGAAAAAACAAACCAAAAAAATAAAAAAGAAAAACCTGTTTGCAAGGTTAGCTCTTGGCCAACATCTGGGAATTAGGATTTGGGGAGGGTTCTCACCATTCCCAGAACTGATTACGCTACTCGCTAAGCCTAAATTGTTTAGCAAACAATGTGATTTATGCTGCATACCTGCTTTCCTTCTGGGAGCCTGAAATTTTGGTATATACCAGTTAAAGTGTGCTTATATGACCAGGCCCCTAATTAAAAACCCCCGGGGTGCTGAGCATTTAACATTGTTCCTGAGAGACATTGTTTCACATGCCTTGTCACAACTTGTTGCTGAGAGAAATGAGTACATCTTGCCTGACTCCATTAGGAAAGGGCTCTTAAAAGCTTGTACTTCCTCTGGACTTTGCCTCATGTGCCTCTTCCCTCTGCAGATTTTGCTTTGCATCCTGTCTCTGTAATAAATCAGCTGCTAAGTCCTCTGAGTCTTCTTAGCAAATCAGTGAACTTGGGGGCAGTGTTGAGGTCTCCTGCAACACACACAACTAAAAGATATCTGAGTAAAATAGATACCACCTACCATCTTACCAGGCAATGTGCTCTTGGAGGAAAGTCATTATTCATACACAGCAAATCTTGCATAGATTGTGGAATAACATCTACAAAAACATATGATAATAAAAAAAGTTAGTGTGTTCATTATTAGACAGAGTTCTAAAATATGCTTTAAGGATAAACATGTCTTGCTAGGCCATGAAGTTATGATATTGCTTTAAGATTTATATGTAAAGATAGCTCTTGAGTAGGGGGAGAAGGATTTCTCTCTCATTTTTTTTCTTCAAACAATCATAGCCTATAAAAAAGACATATGCCACTCCCATGTTTATAATATTTTTTTGCTTCTGAGTCACAACTCACATAATTCCTCAGTATTACCAGAAAGCTTTATTTATTATTCTCAGCCTTCCTGCCCTTGCCTCTACTTTTCTTCAACATTCTATTTAGAGAGATGTCAACTCTGTATCACCTCCCATATCTAGCCTTTTTAGGCCCCCTGGCCATCTTAAATGTTCTTGTAAAACTTCTACCTGGCTTCCCACTTCTAACCCATGTTTACATACTTAAATTACTATCCATGATAAGGCACTAACATCAATGATCATTATACTCATAAATACATAATAAATTCAATGCATAAAGAATAGTATCCATGCATAAAAATAATTTCTGTTGTATGGCTATCATTGCTTAGCAAATCTATACTTTTTATTTTGCTAAAAGACTAAAGAAAATGTTAACAATTTGATGCTTTTCAGACCAAGAGCAACAGCCAACTCCAACAAAATAAATGATCAGTGCTCAAATCTCCTAACCTCTGATAATATAGTTTTAAATGTATGTCTCTAAAACTGAGCTGATGGTTTGGCTTGTAACTCTCACCATTAGTTACAAACTCAATCACAACCAAATTAAAAGAAAACTGCACTGTACATGTACACATGAAACAATGCCTTAACTAGTTTGCAATTCATTCACCTTCATTGTGCTACAGTCTCTTTCATCTGTTCATCTCAGAACACGGATTCTAAGCCTTTTTACTACAGCAGCTTTTCCTTGATGTATGATCTTCCCTTAAATTAACATCACTTAAAGGCAGGGTGCAGTGACTCACGCCTGTAATCCCAGCACTTTGGGAGGCCAAGGTGGGTGGATCACAAGGTCAAGAGATCGAAACCATCCTGACCAACATGGTGAAACCCTGTCTCTACTAAAAACACAAAAATTAGCTGGTTGTGGTGGCGCGCACCTGTAGTCCCAGCTTCTCAGGAGACTGAGGCAGGATAATCGCTTGAACCTGGGAGGCAGAGGTTGCAGTGAGCCGAGATTGTGCCACTGCACTCCAGTCTGGGCAACTGAGCGAGACTGTCTCAAAAAAAAAATTAATAGCACTTAAATTTTCAATATCTTGAATAGTTTCCTTCATTAACTGGCAGAATGCTGAACCCAAAAACTGCTGGGCTATTATGAGACCTCCCACCAATTGCACACACTTCCCTCTTCCTCTTAAATTTCTCATATTCACATTCTGGCTTAATTATTTTATTTTGCTTTATAATTACCTTCCATATATGTATATATGGTTAATGTTATCTGTCCTGGTTTATGAATCTGAATGTACAGGTTATCTAGTTGTTTTGTTTCTAAGAAGAACATACATAATAGAAAAGGTGACATAATTCTATTCCTATACAAGAAAAGGCACAGATATTTCACGTCTGAGCTTAAAAATGATAATCTGTTATGATCATAAAAAATTTAACACATTATGCCTATTTATTTGCTGAGTGAATAAAGAAGGTATTTAACTTGCAGCTCCAAAGTTCATATTTATTCAGTATCTTGCTTACTCACTGTTATGTACTAGTTTACCTAAGAACAGAAGATTTTCGATGATTTGACCTATTAACAATTACAGACACCATTTATTGAGTATCTGGCATGGGTCAAGTACTGAGACAGTTGCTTATGTACAATTTCTTACCAAATCTTCACATTAGTCCTCCACGTAGTATTACTTCATTTTACAACTGAGATACTCAAGCTTAGAAGGGTCAACTAACTAGCAAGTAGAAAAAAAACAAAATTTTAATCCATTTGTTTTGACTCCAAAATCTGGAGTAAATCCAAAACACTAACCTCTAATCAATAGACAGATTTTCCTTTATTTGTAATACTTCAAAGCTAAACGTTTTTGCTTAATTCTCCAGAACACCTTCTCTGATCTCCCAATTAAAAGTAATATTTTCTCCTCTGAATTCCAGTAGAACTTTATCTGAACATCAGGATGCACTTATCACTTTCTGCCTATTACTGTTACTTACTTATCTGTCTTATCTCCCATACTGGAATGTAAGTTTCATTTAAGTTTGAGTTCTACAGGGCTTGTAAGTAGGTACTCAATAAATATGAGCTGATTTAATCAATTAAAAAATGAATAACACTGCAATTCATCCTGCACCTCAGATGTAGTGAAACAACTCTGCTTATATAAAACAGCTCCAGAGGATACTACTGAAGAAAACTAAATTCGTAATTTGAAATTATAGCCATTCTTAAAAATCAGAAGTTAAAAATTATATAGAAAAAACTTACCCTCTAATAACTCATCCTTTCCTTCTTTATCAGTGGACTCTTGTACAAGATAATGATGAGTGACTGAGAACTTGAAGTCAGCAAAGGAAATTTCATCTGATTTCTCTTCCCATGTGCCAGAAGTAAATATACCCTATATGTAATAATAAAATGGAAAAACATTTACCTTAATCAATAGCTATCATTATATTTACTAACCACAGGGATATTTCCCCCTTTTCTGTTATATAAATATCTTCCATACAATCAAAGAAAAAAGAAAAACATAAAAGTGAATACAACCAAGAGAAAATTATTTTATAAATGATTTATGACAGTGTTCCTTTGAAAATTCTTCTAGAATATTAACTATCAAGGGACTTACAAAGATTAATATTTTTGTCTAAGACGTTTCTATATAAAATCATGACTATATCACTAGCATAAAGCATTATTTGACACCAGAAATTGCTTCATAAAGAAGCAATCTGCACAATCAACTTAAGTGGCATGACACCTGTAGCACTTATTTAACAGATTCCTGCTTCTTTATCAAGCTTTGGTATTCAAGTCTTTCCATTTGAACAGCAACTTCTTGAATGGAAAACATAGTAATTAAAAGTTCCAAAGAGCCCCTTTCTTAAACATAACCCTAACCATAAAAAAGGATTTTTCCCATAGGGCTTCTAATGCCCCATAGCTATTTTTTCCAATAAAGAGGTAAACAGTCATTACAGCATAGCACCAACCAAGTGGAAATACCAACCAAGCAACTTGCCAAGCACAGATACTCACAAGCTAGACTGAAAATGTATAAGCAATGAATCTGTGAGTTACTATTTTAAAAACCTTTTCATGGCTATACCTAATGTAAACACCTGAATGTTTTATACATATTCCTGGCAAGATATGTATAATTCTAAATTAAATTAAATCCTATTTTAAGTGTTCTAAATGTGTATTATTACATAAGTATATCAAAGATCAATCTGTTCATTAGGATTTGAATTGTCATGTATGATACATATCAAAAATCCTAATTTTTTAATTATACTTTAAGTTCTGAGATACATGTGCAGAACTCGAAGTTTTGTTACATAGGTATATTACATGTGCCATGGTGGTTCGCTGCACCTATCAACCCGTCATCTACATTAGGTATTTCTTCTAATGGCTAACCCGCCCCTAGTCCCCCATCACACACCATGACAGGCCCTGGTGTGTGATGCTCCTCTCCCTCTGTTCATGTGTTCTCACTGTGCAACTCCCACTTATGAGTGAGAACATGTGGTATTTGATTTTCTGGCCCTGTGTTAGTTTGCTGAGAATAATGGTTTCCAGCTTCATCCATGTCCCTGCACAAGCTCATCCTTTTTTATGGCTACATAGTATTCTGTGGTGTATATGTGCCACATTTTCTTTATCCAGTCTATCATTGATGGGCATATGGGTTGGTTCTAAGTCTTTGCTATTGTGAACGGTGCTGCAATAAACATTAGTGTCCATGTGTCTTTATAACAGAATGATTTATGATCCTTTGGGTATATACCCAGTAATGGGGATTGCTGGGTCAAGGAAATAAGAGAAGACACAAACAAATGGAAAAACATTCCATGCTCAAGGACAGGAAGAATCAGTATTGTGAAAATGACCATACTGCCCAAAGTAATTTATAGATTCAATGCTATCCCATCATCCTACCACTGACCTTCTTCACAGAGTTAGAAAAAACTACTTTAAATTTTATATGGAACCAAAAAAGAGCCCATATAGCCAAGACAATCCTAACCAAAAAGAACAAAGCTGGAGGCATCATGCTACCAGACTTCAAACTATACTACAAGGCTACAGTAACCAAAACAGTATGGTGCTGGTACCAAAACAGATATATAGACCAATGGAACAGAACAGAAGCCTCAGAAATAATGCCACACATCTACAACCATCTGATCTTTGACAAACCGGAAAAAAACAAGAAATCGGGAAAGGATTCCCTACTTAATAAATGGTGTTGGGAAAACTGGCTAGCCATATGCAGAAAACTGAAACTGGACCCCTTCCTTACACTTTATCCAAAAATTAACTCAAGATGGATTAAAGACTTAAATGTAAGACCTAAAACCATAAAAACCCTAGAAGAAAACCTAGGCAATGCCATTCAGGACATGGGCATGGGCAAAGACTTCATGACTGAAACACCAAAGGCAATGGCAACAAAAGTCAAAATTGACAAAAGGGATCTAATTAAACTAAACAGCTTCTGCACAGCAAAAGAAACCATCATCAGAGTAAACCGGCAACCAACAGAATGGGAGAAAATTTTTGCAATCTATCCATCTGACAAAAGCCTAATATCCAGAGTCTACAAAGAACTTAAACAAATTTACAAGAAAAAAAACAAACAACACAACTGTATCAATAAGTGGGCAAAGAATATTTTATTTTATTTTTTTTATTTTTGAGACAGAGCCTTGCTCTGTTGCCCAGGCTGGAGTGCAGTGGTACGATCTTGGCTCACTGAAACCTCTGCCTACCAGGTTTAAGTGATTCTCCTGCCACCACTACAGTCGCCTGCCACCATGCCCAGCTAATTTTGTATTTTTAGTAGAGACGGATTTCCTCATATTGGCCAGACTGGTCTCAAACTCCTGACTTTGTGATCTGCCTGCCTTGGCCTCCCAAAGTGCTGGGATTATAGGCATGATCCACTGCACCTGGCCTAATTTTTTGTTTGTTTGTTTGTTTTGGGACAGAGTCTTGCTCTGTCGCCTAGGCTGGAGTGGAGTGGTGCGATCTCCGCTCATTGCAGCATCTGCCTCAAGAGTTTAAGAGACTCTCCTGCCTCAGCAGCCTCCCATGTAGCTGGGATTACAGGCATGTCCCACCAAGCCAGGGTAATTTTTATATTTTTAGTAGAGATAGGGTTTCACCATGTTGGCCAGGCTGGTCTTGAACTGCTGACCTCAAGTGATCTGCCTACCTTGGCCTCCCAAAGTGCTGGGATTACAGGCGTGACCCACCACACCTGGCCAAAAATAATAATTTTTATGTGTGGGGTTTCTTTAACATGAGGTTAACCTATGTTAAATCAAGGCATCAGTGATCTATACCAAAGTCTCAAGAGGGAGGAAGTAATATGATAATGTACGTAAGAGCTTGTTTTGCTATAGAAATACCCAATATAAAGCAATTAAGGCCAAAACTAGGAAAGAGAAAGTCCAGAAAATGAGAGAGAAATACCTTTTTCAAGTTTGCAGTAAATCAAAAATACTCTTTTTAAATGATACAGAGATATTGTCCGACCCTAATTCTGGATTCTTGGTACTACTGTCAACCTTACCAACATCTATCTAGAGGAAGATTTGATTGTATTCAATAAAGATAAGGCATCCAAGTTCTGTCGCCAAAAGAGACTCAACTATTAAACAAGACTCTAACATCCCATATTCAATTCCATTATGATATAGTTATTTGATACCAAATTCCAGTATGGCATATATCTGCTATGAGAACCAGAAATGACAACTCCAGTTCATCAAAATTAACATAGTAATTCATTAAAAATTACCTTTGAGGATCCTAACCAAAAAATAAAGAGAGATAAATGTATAGATTAAAAAGAAAATTGTCCCTATTCACAGATTACCTGATTATGTATGTAGAATATCCAAAAGAATCTACAAACATATGACTAAAACTGATGAGTTTACCAAGTTATGAAATTCAAGGTCAATATATAATAACCATCTGTATTTTTATATACTAGCTTGGAAAGTGAAATATTTAAAAATACCCCTTACTACCATAAGAAAAAGAAATGATCTAGGAATAAATTTAATGAAACATGAGCAAAAATTCTACCTAAAATACTTAAAAACACTGCAGAGAAATATTAAAGACCTAATAGAGATATATCATATACATGGATTAGAAGACACAATACTGTGAACACATCAATTTTCCCCAAGTTAATGTATACATTCAACATGATCTCAATCAAAACCCCAGTAGGCATTTTTGAAGAAATTGACAAGCTGATTCTAAAACTAATATGAAAATTCAAAGAACCTAGAACAGTTAAAATAATTTTGATGAATAACACTGATTATAACACTTACTTTGCTATAATAATTAAGACAGTATAGTACTGGAATAAAGAAAGACAGATCAATGAAATAGAGTCCAGAAATAACATTCACGCTTATACTTGACTTTACAACAGAGGTGCCACTGGAATTCAGGAGGGAAATAATAGTCTTTTCAACAAATGGTCCTGGAATAATTAAATATTCACATGGAAGAAAACAGGAGAGTATCTTTGGATCCTGAGAATACCTTGGGATAGGCAAAGATTCCTTTGACCAGACACAAAAAGCACTAACAATAAAATTAAAAATAGAGACAATGAACTTCATCTAAATAAAATTTGTGCTTATCAAAATACACAGTTAAGACAATGATTAGGTGGCTGGACACAACAGCTCACACCTGTCAACTCAGCTCTTTAGGAGGTCAATCATGGAGAATTACTTGAGGCCAGAAGTTCAAGACCACCTTGGGCAACAAGACCCTGTCTCTAGTCCTAGCTACTCAGGGAGGCTAAGGCAGGAGGATCACTTGAGACCAAGTGTTTAAGGCTACAGTGAGCTATGATTATACCACTGCACTCCAGCCCGGGTGACAAAGCAAGACGCTGTCGCTAAGGAAAAAGAAAAAACAGAAAGAAAGAAAGAAAATGATTAGAGGAAAAACATGATTAGAAAATGACTAGAGGACAGAAATGGATTACAGGAAAAACAAAATATATACCTGAAAAAGGACTTGCAACAAGGATATACGAGGGTAACAAAAAAAAACTGAACAATCCAAATCTGTTAATGAGCAAAAGACTTGAATAGACAGGAGAAAGTGCTATGAATGACCAATAAACAGTAATTGTGATTAATTACTAGATGAAATACTATCAATAGTCATCAGTGAAATGCAAATTAAAACCACAATGTGATACCATTTCACGCCCAACAGAATGACTAAATATAAAAATCTGTCAATGCCAAGTGTCAGAAAGAACAGAGGAACTTGAAATCTCATACACTGCTAAAAGCATAAAATGATAAAACACTTTAGAAAATAATTTGCCAGTTTGTAATAAAA